AAGCAGACAGTATCTTGTCGGGAAAAGGTTCGGGATGCTACAGTTTGGTCACTGGAATTACATACAAAGTTCATGTTTATCACTCAAATTAATTTATTTCATCCGTGATCACTCAAATTAGTCCAACAATTTAAGTTTGGTCACTCTCTGAGTCTCTGTTAGTCTCCGTTAGATTTTGCTGATAGGATAGTCAACTCTCATAGTTGAACGTTAAATAAGTGATGTGGCAATTAAAAAATTAAAAAATTAATTCTTTAAAAATTCCATCTCATTATCACAATAAGTTAACAAATAAATAAAAAAAAAATTCCCACATAAATTAAGCCCAATTTCATCGCATCGACAGTTCCAAGCTTGCTATGCTTTCTGATAAAAAAAAAAGTTTGCTATGCTTTCCAATAAATAAATAAAAAGTTTGCTCTACTCTCCGCTCTTTCCTTCTCTTCCAAAGTTTGTCCGGCCCAATTCGAAATCGGCCGAATTTGGGAGTCAAGGACCCAACGAAAGTCGCAGCAGCAGAATGAGTGTCAATTCTGTCGCATCAGCGCCCAGGAGCCCGACCACAGAATCACATACGAGGTCGGCATCACCGAGATCTGCGACGAGAACGACGACCAGTTCTGGTGCGCCGCGGTTTGCTAGTGTGAGCAACTCCGCCACGACGCTTCCAGCTTGGCGTAGATTCTCCCCGGGTTGTAGAGACTAGGGAGGAAGGTCGGCTATGGATGAATCGGCAATTCCCCAACCGTACTTGTCGGAGGCCTGGGCGGTTCGAGAGGCGGAAAAAATTAATGGGGAATTCGGTGATTAGTTGGCGAGTTCCGTCATTGGGATTGGGAAGCGAGATGGATTGGATATAAAAGTGGGCGATTCCGAGTTTTCATATTCTCGGAGCTCTTGTGGTTGAATAACTCACTTGTTCTCTCCTGATTCCATCCGTCAGCGAATACGGTCAGCCCTCCCGCACAAGAATGAAGCTTGTACAAGAACTAAGCACCTTAATTAAACGAGTGTAACTCGAACCCAGTTGCTTCCCCAAGTTCATGAAATCGTACATAAACCCATTCCCGTTGAATGTCCCTTCCACCAACATAACGGCTCGATCGTCTCCTTCAAAAACTTCCTTGCTGCTGGAAGGAATCACATAAGGGAAACCAACTTCCTATGTGATCAGTGCCAATCTAGCTCCTCTGGCGACCAACTTGTCGTACAAGGGCTTGGAGAAAATCATTTCTGCTCCCATTTGTATTCATGGAGAAGGGCTTGGAGAGAACCGCCTCCCCCATAACCGAGTAGCAGGATCTGAACCGATCGAGGACGGATTTGGATTTTGGGTCGGGCAGGATCACGATCCTCAAAATGTCGGAGAACGAGGTGATGGAACAAGTGGTGTGGGTGCAGTTGATAAGAGATTAAATTCTTTTTTTTATTTTTCAATGGGTGTAAAAATGTGTTGGAAATAGAAAAGTTTAAATTTTATTTTTTATTAATTTTTTAATTGTCACGTCACTTACTTAACAGAGAGTGACCAAACTTAAATTGTTAGACTACTTTGAGTGACTATGGATGAAATAAATTAATTTTAGTGGCAAACGTGAACTTTGTATGTAATTCCAGTGATCAAACTTGCAATTTAGCCTTGTAACGTCCTACAAAATACACTGTGATCCGGAATTGTCACTTCTACCCTTAGACACCATGTAACATTGTAACTGCATGACATGATGTGTTTTAGGTAAGAAACTCATATGACATTATTATTATTTTTTTTTATCAAACTTCTTAACAACTATGAAACAAATATAGCCAGACAGGGTCTCCCAGACCCAAAAAAAAAGGGTGTAAAGAGAACTGGAAGTTACGTTGCTTCCACAAAGTAGCAACCAACTCAAAACAGAAACTTTAAGAGGGTCTGCCAACCAACCCATCCAAAACAGACTCCCAATTCAATTTCAATTATACAAAAGCCAGCCAGCCAGCTCCTTCTTTTTTTCGAAACTTCCCTTACAACGTATCAGACATGTCATTCAATACTGCCCTATACGTTTTCTCCTTTACAAAGAATGTGTTTGTTTCTGCAACTTTGGCAACCTCCCATTAATGGGAAAGTGGGGGTACCCTATTGTTATGCATACATATACCCTTCAAAATAGTGTCAGTATGACAGGCATAGGGCACCAGCAGCTCCTTGCTGGCTGGCTTCCTCTCATCACAAAATGAGATTCCGATCCATGTTGGTGTATGGGTCTTCTCTCCTCCGATTGTGAAACAGTACTCAAGGTTATACCTGAAAGTTAACGATGGAATATTTTGTACGAAAACCGTGGTTCAATCGTTTCGTACCACAAAAACGGCCTATCATTAGGAGTCCAATATCCGACATTTGTGATCTGACCGGTTGATATGATAAACTTTCTAAAACATTCCCAGCACAGGCCACAAACTGCATGCATATATACTACTTTCATTTTCCTTTCACCAGTTGCTCTAACAAACACGTTCCAAGATTATGATTTTTAACTAACCTGTTGTTGATGGAACCATCTCGCTTGTCAGTTTTTATTCTCAGAATTACAAATATTTTCATCCCTAGTAGTTAGTTATAAGCTCGTTTAGAGTTAGAATCTAATTATATTTCTTTTGTGTGTAGAAAGAACTTAATTATCTACATCATATCTATCTCAAAACAACACACTATAAAAAATGAAAATGCCATTAACCCTTGTCTAGTCATTTCTAGCACCTAGTGATTGAACTATACATAGCCAGCTGCCTACTATGCCCTATTTTTGGTTGTCATATTACAACATTAATATTAGGTATTTAGTCTCCAAAACTAAAGCAAGTTAACTATCAAAAGCAATCTCACTCATTTGTGTATGGTAACGACAGATGTAGTCACGTAGAATACTTTACTTCAAATAATCTAATCATTAGATGTACTCTGTTGAATTTCGATAAAGCAGAATCGTCGATTAATCATTTTTTTTTTTGTTAAATTGATCTTCAAGTTTGAATTTAAAGAATTGAGACCTGAGATTTATCCATTAGATGTTAGGCTATAATATGACAAATTCAGTTTAATTCATAATTTAGATGGTGATATCTCATTAAGATTGCCCGGAATATCGTATAACCCCAGAAATGTGTGTATATATATATATATATGGTTATGTCTTCGGTGCACCCACTTTTTTGGGTGCATTCAATGCACCCGCCTCATAATCGTCATTCTGAGCAGGCGATTCATGTGAAAACGATGTCAATCATCCCTTGTAGTATGATGAACAAGAACCACATGAATTTGTACAAAAATCATTCAAGATTCACTTTAATTTGAATGATTCGGGGTTTAGGAATTTAGGGTTAGGGTTAGGGTTTACAATTTGGGATTTTGGGTTTAGATTCAAAATTGAATGTTAATAGGTTAGGGTAATGAGTTGATTAGTTGTGATTCTGTGTTATATCATCATATGAGACTAATGCTACCCATTAAATTTCAAAATTTGATGTATTATGACCACTTTTAGAGGTGGGTGCACTGAATGCACCCAAAAAAGTGAGTGCACCGAAGTTGTCACCATATATATATATATATATACTGCTTTTGTTTTCTGAAAGTTGATTCGTCTTACTGTACATTAATTCAGCCCTATAATGGTTCATTAATCATGCATAACGGTTTCCTGACTCCACTAATTAAGACCATTAATTAATTGTTGACATTAACGTGTTAACAAGCAATCAGAGACATATATATATATAACGTATAAGTAAAACCAATCTGAGAGCCCTGCTGAAACACGACATTGCTCTTTTTGAAGGTGTCCTAATAAATTGGGTCGTTACGTACGTTCCAACATGTCAGCCAAGATTCAAAACATGATTTTTGTGAACCGCAACTGTTGTGACACTTTTTCTTCTTCTTTCAAGAATGACAAGAGACAATAGTTAGGAATGACTTCGACCTAAAATCTCTAGGTCCAACTATAGTGAAGTCATCACCCAACAAATAAGCTAATTCTAATTTTATGGACAGTTTAGTTGACAGTTCTCGACACCTCCCTAAACACTAAACAATGACAATAAGACTCGACTAGCTAGCTGACGACACTCCCTGAGTAGCTAGGGAGGGATCCTCCAAGACTAGAGAACCCACCACCATACCTTGGGCTTGGCTAAGCCGTCGAAAGACCACTTTTCCAGCATCTCCTTTCACATCTCTTGCAACAAGCAAATTTCACAGGCCGGGTAAGGATTAGACACATCCTGATGTACGTCGGAATCCGAAGGCTAGCTAGTAGACTACGTACTGCCGGTTGTGACGCAGCTGCCTTGACTAACAAAAATTTGAAGTGAGAAGCACACTTTGTTAATAACATAAAATTATCAATATCTAGTATAATTATGCATAATTATTAAAATTACAGTACGAGTATATTATAATGTGAATATGTAATATAAACATCATTTCACATATACAAAAATGAAAAGAGAATGCTATATACAATGAGAAATGGTCGTGGCTTGCCATGTCTAGGGGTGTGCAAGGGGTTGGTCGGCACTGGACCCTATGATTCGGTCCGGACCACACTGAGTCACGAATATAATATTGTCAGGTCCATAATCTCATGAAATTAATGAATACCGAAGAAAAATAGGCCGAGCTGCACTTCTTTTGAATTTGATCAGATCCGGTCAGAACCGAAATGTTGCACACCTACCCATACATACCATAGATGAGAATGAATTGTAGTGGATGCTAGGTTGGTAGCCCCTGCCCTTAAATTTATTTTTATTGTCTTCTTTTCCACTTATAGTGTCCCAAAGTAAACTCTTTCTTCCATAGCTAGCGAGCTGCCCCTAACTTTTGGTCGTATCTGAAGTGGACACCCTCTCCCACTTTATATAATGCCCTCCCGATCTCCACCCTTAACAAAACAAAACAAAACAAAAAAACCCACAAAAATTCCATTTCACTTCCAGAAAACACAAAAACCATGGTGGTTCCTACGGCAGCCAGCGGCGGCGACCAGCAGAAGCCCTACGAAATCCCCTTCTTCGAGCTCTGCGTGGGGGGCAACGACGTCGTTGAAGGCGGCAGGCGGTGGAGGGAGCTGTGCGACAAGGTGCGGGAGGCGTGCGAGACCCACGGCTGCTTCTGTTTCTCGACGGAGCGGATCCCGTCGGGGCTGAGGCAAGGCATGGTGGAAGGGCTCCGGCAGCTGTTCGAGCTGCCGGAGGACACCAAGAAGAGGCACGTCAACCCCAAACCCTACCGGAGCTACCTGGGGAAGAACGACGCCGTTCCTTACCTCGAGAGCTTCGGCATCGACCATGCTCCCAACCTTGAACAAGCTCGGGCTTTTACCACACTCATGTGGCCCCAAGGCAACCCTTCCTTCTGGTAATCTTTTTAATTCATTACCTTAAATTTGAGTCGTAATTAATTAATTAATTCAGTAACCCAACACACGATGCAAATGACATCCCTTTCATCTTTCTCCTTCTCCTTATAACTACCCTATCATCAAGTTGGTATGATTTTTTCAGTTTAACCGTCAATTTTATAGATTGAATTTTTCGGGGTGAAATTATATTTAAGGTGATCGACGACGGTAAACTAGTGTTCAAATGGTGGTGGGATAATATTGATGGTGAGATTTTTGGTATGTACTATGAAAATATGACAATCCCATTTTAGTCTTTGGACTTGGAACCTTAAAAACAGCCCCAAAAAATAACAGATCGAATTGACTACTCCAAGGGCTGCTTTGTGCATATAAGACAAGTCACTTTCAATGGCGTGGGAATTAAAATGGATTTTTTATATATAGCAAAATAACACTTGAGAGCCACACAAAAAAAAAAAAAAAAAATGAACCACGAAGTTTGGAAGATGTTATTGTATTTTTTGATTAATTATCGTTCTATTTTCCCAGGAAATAATTTTTTTTTTAATTTCATTTCCAGCTAAATTTAGACAATTGTGTTGTATAAGTCACAACCAGCCAATTCTGCTATTGTCTCTAGAGTCTAGACTGCCCCCTCACTATATTTATTAGGGGCTTATCCTTCCAAACAGATTCAATTTAATACCAGTGTTTCCAGGCAGCAGCTAGCTAGCCCTTGCTTTTATTGTACACATAAATGGTATCTAGTAGCTAGTTCCACTCTGCACATGTCGTTGCAGAAAATCAGCTAGAAAGTAACAAGGATGACTCCACCGTCGCGGTGGCCGATCAGCTGGTGGACGGAGACCACCCGCTCATGTACCGACCTTTTACCTATTCAGACTACCTGTCTTACTTCGTCCACAACTTGAGCGATGACGCGCTCGAGGTTTACGCCGGATTGTCTTCTCCGGTCGTCGGGATCGCGCCCACCTAGCTAGCCTAGCTTAGCTAGCTGTTTTTAAAATAATTAATGTTGATGTACGTGTTTCGTAATTAAAGTTAATTGGTATTGGTAATGTGTTGGTTAAGCGTTGTGGTCGTGATTATGCCTCTCTTTCTCGTCGTAATTTGTTTTATATATACACCTATAGAGAGAGAGAGAGAGAGAGAGAGAGAGAGAGAGAGAGAGAGAGAGAGAGAGAGAGAGAGAGAGAGAGAGAGAGAGAGAGAGAGAGAGGGAGAGAGAAAGGAAGCTAGGGATACCATATATTATTATTATGGGATCTACAATGTTATATGTAAAGAGTGCATGTGTAAGGAGGAAAAAAAAAAAAAAAAAGAAACTAATGAAACAAGTATCCATTGTTGAAAGTTAATAAAAGACATATATGTTTATGTAGTTTGAGTTTTTATTGCAAGTGGTTAATTAAGTATTATACGTGAACATCTTTTAATTTAATGTGTTCAAGTTTTCACGACATACAATATAAACGGTTGTCTTAATCACATGGTATGACGGGCATGTGCGACGTTCAAATCATGAACTGAGTTTCGTTTGATTAGGCGTGGTAGAAAGTGGTCAAGTATCATACATGGACTTCTACCAACAATTCGAGTTATTGGAACCGGTTGGTTAAACCATCGACTACCGTGGACGACATTGTTTTTACCTTCAAGTGTTTTGTATATTTTGGTATAATCTTTGTTATGGGACAATCCAAGTCCACATCGGAAATATAAAGGAAGGAACTCTTGTATATTAGTGTCCACCTAGCCCAATTAGTACGAGGCCTTTTGGGAAGGAACCCAAAAGTAAAACCATGCGGGCTTGGCCCAAAGCGGACAATGGTCTGGAGTTCTGCAGTTCTGAGTTCAAGGAATTTTGCAAGAATGAAGGAATTGCCCGTCATCGAACCGTTAGAGATACATCCCAGCAGAATGGCATTGCAGAAAGGATGAACCAAACATTGTTGGAGAGAGCACGGTGCATGCTCCCTAATGTTGGACTAGAGAGAAGATTCTGGGCAGAAGCAGTGAACATGGCGTGCTTCCTGATCAACCGTGGACCTCACACAGGTATCGAGTGTAAGACTCCTTATGAAGTGTGATACGGTAAGCCTGCTGATTACTCTTCACTGAAAGTTTTTGGGTGTCCTGTTTATTATCATGTGGATGAGGGTAAACTGAACCAAATGGCAAAGAAGGGTGTATTTGTGGGTTATAGAGATGGAGTTAAGGGATTTCCAGTATGGTCACCTTCTGAGCATCGAGTTATACTCATTCGAAATGTGATATTTGATGAGAAGTCTATGTTTAACCCCATGGTGAAGGTTACTGTTGTTGAAGGTAGCATGAATGTTGATAAGCAGGTGGAGCTGCAAACTCTCAAAGAGAGTGAGTTTGAGCACCAAGGTGGAGAAGATCAACATGAGGATGTTTCTGCAGAGCCAGAAACTTCAGAGTCCAGTGCACGAGCTCAATAGTCTATGTGGCTTCTGGTAGACCGAAGAGAGCGAATGCAGGAATACCTCAAGAGAGGTATGCCTTTGAGGATATGGTGGCGTATTCATTTCAGGTTGCTGAAGAAGTGGATGCAGTTGAACCACAGTCCTATAGAGAAGTCTTTTCATGTGGCAAAGCTGATCAGTGGCTTGCCGCAATGGGAGATCATATGGAATCCCATGACATGAATCAGACTTGGGAGCTAGTCAAATGACCACAGGGAAGGAAGATTGTTACAAACAAGTGGAAAATCGAAGAATGAAAGTATAGATGAAGAAGAGTGGATTACTTTGGAGGAGAAAGGTCACTCTACAATCTTGTTTTGTTTGGCTGATGACATCATCACTGAGGTTGCTGCTGAGAAGACTGTCGCCGGGTTGTGGTTGAAACTTGAAAGTCTATACATGACAAAGTCTTTAACCAACAAGTTGCATATGAAGCAACGTTTTTTTCAGTCTGCATATGGAGGAAGGTACATCTCTCAGGAATCATCTAGATCAACTCAATACTATCTTGTTAGATCTGCGGAATATTGATATTAAAGTAGATGATGAGGATGCTGCCTTAATTCTGTTAGTATCTTTGCCACGGTCGTATGAGAATTTTGTGGATTTTTTTATTGCTGGAAAAGATAGTTTGACTCTAGAAGATGTCTGATCTGCTCTACATACTAGAGAAGTTCGAGATAAGGTGTCTGGTTCAAGTTTAGGAAATCGGGCATTTTGGTTGGCTGATACGAGTAGTAGGAGACAACAATCTGATAATAGGAAGACGAATGTAAATTTAAATTTTGTTGGTTTGAAGGATGATATCTGTCATTACTGTAAGGAAAAGGGCATTGGAAATTTGATTGTCCTAAACTAATGAAATATCAGGAGAAGAAGGAATCATCTACTGTTGTGGTAGAAGAAACTAACTTTGATTCTAAAGATGGTTTAGCCTTAGTAGTGAATGAACAAGTACATCATTAGGATGTGTGGTATTTAGATACTGCAGCTGATTATTATATGTGTCCAAGCAGGGAGTGTTTTTTAACTTATGAGCAAATAGATGGAGGACATGTCTATATGGCCAATGGTGCTATCTGCAAGATTGTTGGAAGAGGCTCCGTCAGGATGAGGACACATGATGGTTCTGTTCGCACCTTGAACAATGTTAGGCATATTCCAGAGATGACTAAAAATTTGATATCTTTGAGTCTACTAGACAGCAAGGGTTTCAGTTTCAAGAGTGAAGGTGGAGTGATATATGTCTACAAGGGTTATAAGGTGATTCTGAAAGGTGTCAAGGTTGGTGCCTTGTATGGTCTACAAGGGTCTATTTTGACATGTTCTGTTGGTGATAAGTGCACCAAGCTGGTTCTGAATGTCAAGTCTCAACATGGGTTGGATTTTTCGAATGGGTTGAGTTGTTGACCGCCCCATAGGGTCATTTCAAGGCAGGGGAGATTCTGGTACAGCTGATTTGGAGAAGTTTGGTACATCTGACAATTTTGATTGCATCTGAGTTTGGCGATTTGCATCGCGTTTGAGTTTGGCGATATGTATCTCGTCTGGGTACATCTGGCAATTTTGGTTGCGTCTGGTACATCTGTATTTGGCATATAATTCAAGTCAAGGTGGAGATTGTTAGAATATGACTTGAATTTGATTTGGGTTTGTTTTGTGTTAAGGGACTATTTTGTTTGGGTTTGTGTTTGGGCTTTGTTTTGGTCTTTTCCTTGTATGTTTGGAAAATGTATTCAGTTTTCTGTTTGGGATAAGGAGAAGAGTTCTATAAACACTCTTCATCACCCTAATTTGTTGTAAGGTCAGTCATATTAGTTTGTTTGGTTTGTCCATTCTGGAATTTGGTTTGTAACCTATACTCCCCTCAAATCAGTGAAATTTGTTCTCCCCTGCCAGTGGATTAGCTAGTACACATTGTGTTAGTGAACCACGTTAAATTCGGGTTCGTTTTGGTTTGGATTATTGATTGCACACTTCTGTTCTGACAATCTTCTTGATTACATCATGTTACTCATTAGCATATATATACTCTCTCGAATACCACACATTGCTATTTATGTTGATAATTTTGCGTAGGAATATGTTTGATGTAAAAAATAATAAAGAAACATGTTTGTTAAAATAACATGCATAGAATTTTAAGAAATTAGCCTAATGATAATGTGAGGATGATATCCACCACACCATGGATTCGATCCTTGAGGCCAACAATCAATAGAAAAAATGCATCCAAAATTATACCTATAACCCTTTATTAAAAATGAACTTGTTCACTTTTGATTGCATTTTAAAGGACACAGTTGAGAGTTGAGAGAGTAGGTTGATGAACAAACGTAGGGACATTTTTTTCACCAACAAACAATGGGCCAATCATGGTAGGCCTGTTTATTTGACAATGGGTTGTTCCCACCCCAAACTCAAAACTGAAGCCCGACAAGGACTTGCGGCCCCCTCTTGTCAACTGAAAATGGGCCACTCTTTTTGGGCTACCTGACCGATTTTATTTCACATCGCTCCTCCATCTATCTCGTCATTCATAAAATTTTCAGATTAATTTGCCCATTCCGCCCGTTAATGGTGTCTTGTCTTCCCGAGCTACCGCCGACTGCGGGGTAAGGCTCAATCCTTCCGAACTTTTCTTCAACGCAATCTCATTTCTTCGGAGATTTATCATTGAATTGCTTTCCTTTAATCCATTGGTTACGCAGGATGAAGAGGTCAATCTTCAACTTCTTGAGAGTGAACTGGATCGCGCTCGATACTGATTGCTAGCTTGGATGAACATGTATAAGGTGAGCTTTTATTTTTTAAGGCGACCTGAGTCAATCGCTCCAATTCCTTTCGCTTTTTTGGCTTCTTATTCTGCGAGCGAAAATTTTCAGAATCGGAGAAAGGCTGATGTTCTGAGCGAATCGCGACACTTGAAAGAGAGAATTGAAGAAGCTAGTGTTAATGCAGTCATTGATAAACTGATTCCGGTTCTCAAATCATTGAAGGTAATCACTGAAACGCGTTAATTTGTTTGTCCTAGCGAGGATTCAGGAGTGGTTATTGGAATACATTTTTGTAGAGTCTATAGAATGAAGATGTGTGCTAAGAGCTGCTTACGATGCGAAGCGTGCTAGATTAGAAGCGGAGGTTAATTGGAGGACAAAGTGGAATGTGGTTTTGACAATGAGAGCCTTTCTGAGAGTCTGGATAGTTTGCTGGAAATGTCAATGGAAAAATTAGATTCATCAAAGAATGTATCTTTTCGAACTGAGGGGAACTTAGTAATGGAACCTGTAATCAAACTTCCTTATTATAAAAAATCGTTGTTGGTAATGTTTGGGTCTTTTTATGTTTCTAGGAACTGGCTGGTAGACTGAGGGCTAGACTGTCAGTAAAGCATCGGATTGATGATGTGGCTACTCAATCTGAAGTTATCCAGTTTGTTGTTAACTTTATACATGCTTAGGTTAAGTGTGGTTTAAGGGAAGTTAGATTTTGGGATGTTAATCAACTCCTTGTACATATATAATTGGCAATTGAGTGAACTCATGTTTTCTTTCCAGGTATGATCGTCGACTTTCTGAACTCAATGCTTATATCCAGGTATGATATGCGGGCTTCTATAAAATCTCTTGTTGATTTTTGCACTATCTTTCCCCCTCTGAATTTTCTCTTCGATCTCCACAGGAGAAACACCAACAAATCCGTAAATACTATGATACCTATAATGCCTGTTGGAGATTAAAGACTTGATGCTGAAAGAAACTTCCTTGTTGAACTCAATAAATTTCCAGTAAAAGTTCTTTGAAGTTCTGTGATCTGTAGCTTACTTCTGGGAACGAAATGCTGCAAAGACGTGGCTTACTATCTTTCTTATATTTATTAACATATCGTGCATTTATATCTAGCTCTAAGTCTGTGGTTTCTCTAAGGCTTGCGCTAAAGCATGATACAATCTTTGCCAACAACAAGATGCTACATTGTGCTGGCAATTTGTTTAATTTTCTTGCAATAATTTGGTAAGTTCTGATATGGATTGTTGTTTCTAAACAAAAGATGTATGATGTATCTACAACTATTGTTTTGAACAGGATTGTCACATTCTTACTGCTTTCTAACTTAAGAGATGCAAAAGGAAGTTAACTATTCAAAAGAAAAACAGTTATGCACCTAACTGTCACGAGTTAATGGTGACTAACTTGTAACTTCTCCTTTGACCCTTTGCAGTTCCAGGATGCAATTACTAGTCCTGACGGTCGCATGAAGCTTACTGCTTAAATGGAAGGAATCGTGAACAACTGTCAGCAGGTCATCCCACATACTCTTCGCATACGAGAAATGTCGAAACGTGACTTCCAATCTCTTTGTTTATGTATTAAGATGGTAATGGTAATTGTTGTCTCATCTTGCTAACAGAAGCTACAAAAGTTGGAAAGTAAACTTGATGAGGAGCAGAGGACTCTCAGCGATCTCAAGAAGAAGTATGCTGCTACAATGACGGAGCAAAGGCGTTGCTATTCTCTGTTGAAAGCATTTCAGGTTAGCACTCTGGAGATTGGTTACCTAGTAAGGTTTCCGGAAGAACTTGTTCTTATCATCATTCTTATTGCAGTCATTGACTTGTAACATAACAATCTTCATTTCGGCTCTTTACTGAGAAGCTAGTCTGTCATTTTGCAGGGGGAATGTTCAAAGAATGAGACGATTCGAGGTCAAACTACGACGTAGGAAAACCAGCAGCAGATTAAGATTCTTTTCTATGTGATCAGAGAACATAGTGGGTAGTACCGGCTGTCCTCAATCCTCATCACACTGGAAAGACATTCATGTTGCAGAAAATTGCGTTGCGGTTGGATTTCCTGTAAAATTGAAGTTATTGTTGTCTTGTTTTGTTTGACTCCTCTATTCCACTGGGATATTCACGATTTCCTTGGAACATCTAAGCATATTATGTATTAGGCTGGTATTGGTATATAGTTTACATTTTCAAGGGTTGCGAAACCGTACCGGACGTCATGCCGGATTCCTTTCTGGTAGGGTATTTTGTGGTACGACCGTGGTTCAACCGTTTCGTACCGGTAAATACCATTTTTGTAACACTAAAATATTTTTTATATTAAAAAACCGTACCAGTCAAAATATGTTACCATTCCGAAGTAATACTGGAATACTATCGAAAAATACCGGATAGAAAATCATAAAATATCAAGTATCAACATATATCAATGTATGAAACAAACATGGATATCCATATAAAAATAAACTTGGGCCGAGAAAGAACCAAGTTTGGTTTGCCTTGTTAATTGTTCTCATTATTTCATTTTTGGTCTGCTTATTGTCATCTGGTCTTAGTTCTTTTATTGGGCTTGCGAAGTTTAAAGCCCGTTATAGCTTTAGCAAAAGGAAGATTGGAATTGACGAAGAGGAAACCAATTCTGTTAGACTTCTGTCATTGTCTTTCCCTCTTTGTCTTCCTCCTTTCGGTGATAAAAATTAAAATCCCTAATTTCACTGTCTTAAGATCGATTCTCACTCTGTAATTTCTCCCCAGGCCTGCCTACTATGGCGAACGCCACTGGGAGTGACCGAGAAAGCGGAGCCGCATCCTCTTCCTTTGTACCACCTGTTGGCGAGCAGCGCCTCCGGTTAGAGTCTGGAGATGGTGATTGGCAACAGGAGTGCGACTGCCACTTCTTCCCTCTCTGTTTCTCTTCCCTCTCACTTGTTATTGCTGCTTCGTTGTCGTTGCTTTTTTGTACGAGATTGTGGTTGTGGGACTCGTAGGATTCTTTGTCAAACTCATCTTCGTCCCGATTGAGGAACATCAGCTCCAGGTTCCCTTTTCGTTTTCCCCGATCATCCCTCAATTTGTGCGTTAGAACACATGGAAGGATTTCTGGAAGATTTGGCTCCATAGATCTGACGGTCGACAGACTGTAAGATGAATGACTAACACCAGGGACTGGGAATGGGAGTACCACCGACAGGATCAAAACCGGCCGATATTGCGCGAAATATCGGTTTGCCAAAGAAATATCGGCAGACACACTAATTCATTGAATTTCTAGTACCGTATCGGAACTGGCCCGATTTTCGATTTTCCCGGTTCTACCGGCCGGTACGGTAACATTTCAGATCAATCCAACGGTTCAATCACAACTACTACTATTGGGCCATAGCGGAGCGGTGTTGGGCTCGGAGGCCCACAAGAGGCCCAAGAAGGAAGGCCCGTCGAGGGGCCTAGGAAGCAGGGATGGGGAACGGAGAAAGGAGGGCGGCCACCCTAGGATGGGACAGACAGTAGGACGCCTGACACAAGGAGCCGTTGCTTGGCAGAGGGCGAGATCTTCCTAAGATACTCGCCTCGAACACCGCAGGACTGAGCATTAATTACTCGCCGTAGGCGGTCTAGATAAAGCATGGCTGATCTAGAACGCCTGACAATGGCATTTAATGCTCGGGTAAATGACACATTTGGTCACTGAGATTACTAAATTGTGTCATGTATAGTCACTAGAAAAAATTAATATCAATTTTGGTCACTCGAATTACCGAAACTGGTCAAATTTAGTCACTCTCCCGTCAGTTTCCGTCCAACTCCATTAATGTAGTTCGACGGAAACTGTTGGGAGAGTGACTAAATGTGACATGTTTCAGTAATCCGAGTGACTAAATGTGACATTTTTCAATAATTCAAGTGACCGGAGTTGGACAGAGGCTACAAAAGAGTGACCAAATGTGACCTGTGTCAGTAATTCGAGTGACCAAAATTGATATTAAATTTTTCTAGTGACCAAATATGGCACGATTTAGTAATCTCAGTGACCAAATGTGTCATTTACCCTTTAATGCTCAAAGCCCAGGCCAACCCACTATAAATACATTCATATCTACATTGATGGTAACCCAACTACTCTCTCTCTCTCTCTCTCTCTCTCTCTCTCTAAACATAAACTAAAAACTCTTATTCTATCTCTAACTTAAGCATCGGAGGGTGTCCGGGGTGACCGCCCAAGGACCCTTGTTTTGTAGGAGCTTGGAGTCCCCCATCATCTGAAACAGACGCTTCACTCGTTCTCCACGAAACCGCCTAGAACATTCTAGGCTCAAACAATTTGGCGCCCACCGTGGGGCGAGAGATAGCACTGAAGAAAGGATGGATGGGAGCTCCAACACCCCTGTCAAAGGCGTGGTAGAAAGAAGCAACCCCCGCGCACTAGACGCGCAGATGAGAGGCATCCGAGGGTTGGAAATGCCCACTGTGGAGAGGAAATGGAGATGGAGGACCGCGTAAAGAGTCAAGGGCAACAAATATCAAGTATGCAAGAAAGCTTGGGCCAAATTTTGGCCATGCTCAAAGAAAAAGAAAGCGAGACGCCAGGAAGCTCAGGAAATCGACCAAACAAGGGAAAAGGAAAAGAAGACGGTCCCGACAGCCCTGCTCGGACAGAAGGCGGGGAGTCCGATAAAGAAGAAGGAACAGAGGATCTTAGCTTGGGATTTTTGGAGGAGCATCTCAGACCCTCGTATGGCAAGACAAAAGGTCCCACCATCCTCCAAAATCCGTTGGCTAAAAGCTTGTTCAAAACCCAAGTTCCCCCAAACTTCTCATCACTCGGGCTGTCCACGTATAATGGAAGCTCGGACCCTGCCGACCAATTGAGCGCTTTCATGTTGAAGATGCAGCTCATCAACGCCACATACGCTGATCTGTGTAAGGCGTTCCCGGTCACATTCGGCGGCCAATGCAGAACTTGGTACACCTCCCTGCCAGAGGGGATAATTGAAAATTTTGAGCAGTTCGCGACTCTCTTCTCCTCGAAGTTCGCATCCCAGAGAAGGAGAAAGTTGACGGTATCATCATTGATCAATTGTGAGCAAGGGGAGGAGGAGTCGCTGACAGATTTCTACGATAGGTGGAACACTATAGCCTGCAAGGTGCAGGGGATCTCACCAAGTGTGGCAGCAGGAACCCTGCGTATGTCCATGCATAGTTGTGAGTTGCGAAGAGCGCTTATTAAGAAGGAACACACCCTGAAGGAGTGGCCCGACCTGAACCGCTTAGTAAGAAAAGCGATCCTACTTGAGGAAGCCATGGTAATTGAGGACGCTACCAAGCGCACCAACCCAAGGGAAAAAGAAAGGAAGAGGGGAGGGTCGCCTAAAAGGAGGGGGTGCTCCCCAGAAAGAAGAAACTATAAGTCACGGTACATACACCGAGACAACAGGAGGGAGGTTTTCACCACCAGCCGAGAGGAAAGCCGGGACCGTAAAAGCGACGGCAATGCGCATCAGACGCATAGGAGGGAGGAGGATCGGAAGTGGTGCGACTGGCACCAGATGCCCACCCATGACACCACGGAGTGTCGGGAATTCAAAGCAAGCTTGAAATACCTAGCGCCCGGAGATCTCAAGAACCGCTTGGATATGAGACCGCAGTGCCAGGAACAAAGACAGCACAAGGAGAGGTCGTCGAGCCCAAGAAAGAGATCACGCACGCCCAAGCGTGGGAGATCGAGGTCGCAAAGAAGAGATCGGTCTCCTAGGCGTGACCGCCTACCACCGCCACCAAGGAGGTCGCCTCCCCACCGACAACCGCGCATTAACGAAGACGACGTGGAGGTCATAACCATCGCGGGTGGGCGCAAGAGGCCCCGAAGTGAGGGAGAGCGTCTAGTTCAATGCTTAAATGTCAACAAAAGCGAGCAAGTGGATATCATCTTCTCGCCCTCTGAGTTGGCCCCTGGTGAGAGTGCCGAAGATCCACTGGTGATCTCTTTGAGAACAAGGAAGTTTAAAGTCACTAGGGCATTGGTCGACAATGGCAGTTCACCGGATATACTGTTCTACTCTACCCTCAAGAGTATGAAAATGAGCGTCCAAGATCTCAAGCCCTCTGCTACAAGCTTAGTAGGATTCTCGGGATCGAAGATCAGAGTGCTGGGTTTGGTCACGCTTCAGGTGACAATTGGAGAAGCATATATAACAAAGACGCGCTGGATTGACTTTCACGTGGCGGATTGTCCATCAGCGTATAATGCGATCTTGGGACGCGGTTTCTTATCATTATTTTCCGCGGTCCCTTCCACTTGTCACCAGATGCTTAAGTTCCCTGTGGGCGGAAGAGTAGGGCAAGTCAAGGGAAACATTGAACAAGCCAAAGAATGCTACCAGGCGACAATAGAGAGCTTGGAGGTGGACTTGGTAGACACTCGAGGGGGACACCCCCGCCCAGAAGCAGTAGAGGGGGACGCGGAAGTTGTACTTGATAGTGAAGAGCCAGAGAAGAAGGTGAGAATCTCTTCTCACCTCACGGAAGAGAAGGCAAGGGAACTCTTGGCGCTCCTCAAAGAATACAAAGACCTATTCGCATGGACCTCCGAGGACATGCCGGGCGTCTCAAGAGAGCTTGCTGAACATCATCTGTCGGTGAAAAGCAAGGCGATGCCCGTTCAACAACGACGGAGGAACGCTTCCCTTGAGAAGCAAATGGCACTTGAGGAAGAAGTAAGGCGGTTGCTCAAGGCCGGTTTCATAAAGGAAGTCAAGTATCCAACTTGGCTTTCAAATCCGGTCTTCGTCCGCAAGGCCTCAGGGATTTGGCGAATGTGCATAGATTTCACAAACTTGAACGCGGCCTGCCCGAAGGACGCGTATCCTCTGCCGAGAATCGACCAACTCATAGATGCAGCCGCCAATCATGAGAGTCTAAGCTTCCTGGACATGTT